TAGTTCTTATTTCCTCAAAACATCTAGATAGTATTTTTAGGTATTTCATTGTTTCTTGTTAATATCAAATACTACATCTAGTGGACAAAACTGAGTATATGTGTGTTTATACACTTAAATCAGTTAAGGAAATAAGAAAATACACATTGTAACACACTGTACTTTCTGTGTGCGATCCTACATATATCTATTAGAAAGACAATAGTTACATCAATATTTTCAGTTACATGAAAGTACAGAGTTTGTCAAGTGGCTAAAAAGAAAGGCTTTGAATTCAGATATTATTTTATCACTTGTTAGCTATGTGACTTTGCCAGTTGCCTCTGTTTTATTTAGGATATCTACACCGAGATACAGAAAGGTCAATTAATAATATCTCAGATTAGATGTGAATCATAGCCCACAGGGGTGGAAGTCACCATCTGCTCTAGTCATACACAGGCTGAAAAACAGAGAGCTAATTGTCACATTCTTTAGCCTTCCTCTCCTTAACTGAAACTCCCCAATAAAACTTTTGATTTTTTCCTGGCCTTGTAACTTTCTTTCTATTTCTGTGACCTTGGATTCATCTTTGACTCCTTTCCCCTTTTCCTTCCACATCTTATTGCTAAGACATTTTGGCTGGCCATATATTTTGCCTCATTAAAAATAAGAGATTCTTCTAGTTCCTACAACTTGACTCTGGCTCCACCAAATATCAACTTGGTTCTGGAAACATCTTAAAGACAGATATATCATCCTTGTAAATGATTTCAAATTCTCCACAAATCTTAATATAGCTTGTTCATCAGAGTGAATGTTCTGTAAGTGTCCAACTGACCTTATCAGCAATGGTCATTTATAACTGTGAGATAGCATATACTTAACCTGTGTCACAGAAATGCATTCATTTACAAACAGAAAAATTAAATATAATACATCATGTCGGTATTACTTATTTTCTTCCCCATTTTACTGATGTTTAAGTTAAAGCTCTATGGACATTTGAAAGTTGGAAAATAGCTCTGAAAAACCACAATGAGGCCACTAGTGTTGACAACCCTGGATCCATCTGAAATGTGAGCACCTGTTCTTATTTACTACAATAACAAATGCTGGTCTCTGTACAGGTCAAACAGGTTTTTTAGACTTTGCAAAAGGCAATTACCTGATATTAAAACTGTAGCTGCCTTTGGACCTTGGTAATAAGATCTTAGTCAAATATTGGGGGCTTCTGATATTATGAAAATACACTGTCTGAATATTAATGGGGAAAACGTAGACAATGGGGAAGTATTAACTATAACAGACTGCTGCATAACATAGACATATTTTCACTTGCAATGAGGATAAAGAACAAGTCTAATACAACATCAAGATTACTGCCAAACTATTTGGCATGTAGTATTGTACACACACACACACACACACACACACACACACACACACACACAGCCTACATTAAAACTATGTTTCAGTTAAAACATGGTGAAAAGCTGGTTGAGCTTATAAAAATCTAGTAAATTACACAAAGGATGTTCTTTGTCTGTCTATATGTTTGCCACTCACATGGTTTTGAGCAGAAATTCTTGTTATCGGGGATTATTTGATTCTCACTGCTTATCCTATCTTTGGCCCATAACAGGTGCCAAGTAATGAATGAATGAGTGCTTAATTTTAACCATTTGAACGCATATGCTTTGGAAGATCTACAAGGGAAATAACCATTTACTGCCCCAGTGGAGCATGATTTAGGTATCACTTCTGTGGCTTCGTTCTCTAACACTAGAAAGATGTAATTATGTACATTTAAATTCAAATGAATAAAGATTAAATTCAATTAAAAGATTAATTCCTGGATACATATCCATACTGAGGATTGAACTCAGGGCCTCATGCATGCTGGCCAGACACCCTACCACTGACATTCACCCTCAGTTTTGCATAGTCATTTTTTTTTTGGTCTTTTTGAGACAGGGTCTCCCTGTAGCCCCAGGTGTTGTGGAACTTGCTATGTAGACCAGGCTGGCCTTGAAATCACAGAGATCCACCTGCATAGTCATATTTTTAATGGTTCAAAAGCTAAATGAGCTTGGTGGCTGCCATATTGAAAGGTGGAGATATTGCCATTTCCTTCATTCTAGAAAGTTCTATTGGATAGCAATATTCTAGAAAATGTTATATTTTCTTCATATAAAATTGTCCACATGACACTATAAATTCCAAAATACTCAGATGATTTTGCAAATATGAAAAACCTTCGATCTTACAGTGTTCTAGGAAAACCGTATCTAGCATACATCTCTCCATCAACCTGCAGGTTTTGGATACTTTTATAATTTTATGTAACTTGCTAAGATATTTTTAATAAATTAAAAATTCATTAGAGTAAAATATCTGAACAAGAATTGTCATGTCTGTACTAAGTGTTATCAAATTCCAGTGTTCTACCTGGAGATCCTGATCCAATGGGTATGAGGTGTCTTAATGAAACCATGCATTTATTTGTTTGTTTATGTGTTTATTTTTTAAATATTTTATTTATTATATTTTTATTTTATGTAGATGAGTATGTTGCTTTCATGTATGTAAGTGCACCTGTGTTGCACAGTGCCAGTGGAGTTCAGAAGAGGGTGTCGGATCCCCTGGAACTGGAGTTACCGACAGTTGTTAGCCACTATGTGGGTACTGGGAACTGAACCCGGGACTCTGCAGGAGCAGCTACTGCTCTTAATCGCTGAGCCATCTCTCCAGTCACTTATGTGTTTATTTTTTAATAATCAAGGTCTTGCTATGTAGGCCAGGCTGGCCTTGAAGAGGAGAGCCTCCTGCCTCAGCCACCTGAGAAATTACATTTTAAGAGCAACCTCTTTAGCTGATTTTGATGCAAGTGTCTAAATAGCTACAAATTGAAATTTTTAGCCTAAGGATAATAGGGATTATATTCTTGCTTCATTTAACACAATATATTGAACTTCTCTAGGTTATATGTCTTATTCTAGGTACCAGGAAACAAGGTGGAAAGAAGAAGACATCCCTGAAAAAAGGGATTCATGGTTATTAGGTTTTGTAGGCTTGTTCCTTTACCAAACATAGTTATCTAAACCACTGCTTCCTATGCAAACCTGTCACCAGATTTTTCCTCAAGTGGAGTCTGGTTTGTCTTTTGTTCTGTTTGTAAAGATAGTGATAGTAATGATGGAGGTGATGATAGAAGATGAAAAAGGAGAAGATTCAGAACAAGACAGACGAGAATGGGGTCGAAGTGGGGGGGGCAATGAAAAGAAAGGCCAAGTAAGGAAGAAGAAAGGAGAGAAGACAGATTTAGAGACAGGAAGGTGGGAGAATCGACAGAACTCCATGCTGAATAAGGTACAGGGAAGTAAGCAGCAGGAAGAGTTTTGACATTCAGCTGTCTGCTATGTTACCAGATCATAGGGCATTCACTTAAAGGGGAACACGGGGTAGCAATGGAGGGAGACGAGGGTTCGGTTTTGGTGTTTCGGCCTGTTTTGTGCTTTTGGAACCTCCATGTAGAGACAACAAGAAGGCCGATAGGCATACAGTTTTACAGCTTTGATGACAAAGATTTAAAATATACCAGTGTTACATGAAGAGGAGTAAAACCACACAGGAAATCATACCAGAAAATGAAGTCGTGCTCTACAGAGAGAAGAGAAACTCATGCAGACAGAAGTCTGCTACACAACAGTGATCCTTTAAGCTTTTGGGTTGATGGTATTTCTAAGGACAGAATTTCTAGAAGATGTTTAATTTTATAGATCTACAAAAGTTATTTCCAAGGTCATAAGACTCCTGTTAAATAGTTCCATCAACTTCAGGTGTTTCAAGGGAAAAAGAATGGGCAGGAGGTGGGGGGGACCCATGAAGACTAATGAGAAGTGTAAAAATGAAAAACCAAATTTCTAACTCTTGGAGATTTGTATCAACTGAATTTAAGAGCAGATATAAATTCTCACATGACCTGTTCATTTCTTTCATATCCCTGCTTGTAAAACCAGGAAAACAATTAATAAACATTTAGAAATGATTTATTGAAATCTTTTATAGCTCCTTAGACTCAACATTTGAATTTCTCTTCATTTTGTTTTGACTTTTCATGCTTTGGGCTACAGAACCCAAGGCTTAATTGGTTAAGACAAGAGACCACGTGAACAATGGTATGACTTTTTTTTCTTTTGCAAAGGTGTGTGTTAGAGAAAGCCAGGCCAACATGAACTTAGTTTTATCATAGTCTCTTCCTTTGATGTCACACTTACCTACGGAAGTGATGATGACAGTGAAACGAGTTTCATCTCGCCTTCCAGTTATGTTGTTGTAAGCACAACACATGTAGTCAGTTGTCTTTTGGGTCACTTTCTCAGATGCGACTTCTAAGCGAGGTCCATGCTTAATGACATAAGTTGTATTGTCAGATCTCTGGATCCAGGAGTAGGTGTTGGGGGGATAAGAATCAGCAGAACAATCAAACAGGATGGCTTCTCCAAGGTCAACAGTGAACACTTCCCCTACTTTTAGCCCTTTATCAGAATTAACTTGAAGTCCATAAGGTCCATCTACATGGAGAGAGATATGAAAGGATCACATAAACAATCACAACACAATTTTGGGGTTTTGAGGAGCTTAGTAGCATTTTGCTGTCTTTGAAGGTCATCATGTTAGACTTCTTTAGACTCCTAATAAGTGATGAGATTCTAATGTTTTATTTTTTTCCAATATTTGCAAAGTGGAAATTATTTGAACAGATTTGTAATAGTTAAAACCTGAAGTTTTGATTACAAATTTACAGACCTTGTCATGAAACTCATACTAAGTTTCAGTATTGCACTGATACATGCACAATGCTGACAGGAAAACTTGGTCTGCCGAGAATAATAATTACATTTGAAAATACATTTACAACGTATTATGGCTACTATTTTCTCTTTGACAACCATACTTTGAGTACTGTTTATTTTTATTCTCAGTGCTAGGCCACGCAAATATTTATCAAAGACCTAGTTTCATGAGGAACACTGGTTTGTGCAAATAGGTATAGGATTGTTTCATATTTTCTTAAGGTTTTAACAGAATTTTTTTAAAATCTTCATTTTAAGCTTAAGATTCTATTTGGAGTGTGTGTGCATGATGACATGTATACCATTAACAAATATTCATTGAAAAATCAACAAACCACTTAATCTTGAATATTTGATGTTTTTCCATACCACCAAACCCACTATAATCTTATGGCATTAGACTACCAACTGATGAGGACACATACAACATTGCTTTTTGTGGAAAAAAGGAAAAATAGTTAAACATTTTCTTTCAGCTATGTAAGTTTTCTCTACTCTAAATCCTGATGTGTATCCCAAAACCTTCATGTTTTGGGCATGGTTATATATGACATTTATTAGATATTTGTCATGTGATGTCAGTCTATATATTCATACACAGAGCCACATTTAAAGAAACCACATGATGTAGATTTTATTATTCCCATTACAAGATTTAACAAATTTATGTCCCATAGCACATAGCTTTTAAACAGCAGAACTGAGACTCTTAAAAAAGTTTAAGTGGTATAATTTTCTTTATCAGAATAATATTGATGAATCATTTTTAGTTTTATGACAAATTATTGTCTAATTATATAGTTAATTATGAAATTAGTCCAACAACTACTCAACAAGTATTTGAGAGACAGTAAGTATAAGATAATATATTTAGTATGTGAAAGACAGAAACAATTTGCATTATTAAGAAATGTACAGATAAAGAGGATAAATCATTGAAATATGGTCTCTATGTAGGCCTCTGTCTTCCCACTGACTTCCAGGGTTTACAGAATATGCCTCTAAAAACAAACTGCTGCACAGCTGATCTCACATAAAACAGGTGTTGTTGTTCTTAATTTTTTTCTTTCTTTCTTTCTTTTTTTTGTGGGGGAACTCTTTATTTGGAGTTGCCTTGGTATCTTGCAACATACTGGAGTATTCCCACAGGTAGTAATTATTTAATTTTGGAGGATGGGTTCACTTTGTAGAAGAAGCCCATATTTAGAACCATGTCTGGTGAGTAAGGTAATAACTGAATAGAATAACTATAGTTTTCAATAAAACCTACCTTGAAAGCAAAGAATTTGATTATCGTAGCTTCTCTTCTGCCATGGCTATGTTGATTTTTACTACACCCTTATTTGTTAGGTTTCATGGTTGGCATAATCTTTCCTTTCTGTCTTATATATACTGTTTTTGGCTTTTCAGAGTCAGCTTCACATCTCTCATCCCTCTACCTGCCCTCCCTGCCAAGCATTTTTTCCAGTTCCTGGAAACTAATGCTTTGAGGCATTTAAATTCCTTATTTGAATTTCTGACATGATTTCATAAGACACATATTTTATTGATATATGTTCATTGCCAAAAATCCTAAAATTGAGAGGTCCAACCAATGAAAAGTCTTCTTTAATTGTCCTACAGACTCAACATCCATATGATTGAATCGTCTTCTAGTTCCACTTCCTTCCTCCTCCCTCTTCTACCTCTTCCCCTCTCCTCCTCCCTTCCTCCTCCTCCTCTTCCTCCTCATGCCCCTCCTCTTTCTTCTCTTTTTTTCTCTTCTTCCTCTTCCTTCTATTTCTCCTCTCTCTTTCTCTCTCTCGTCTCTCTCATACACACACAACCTTTATCTTGCACTGCACAACACTGTTTACATTCTATTGTCTACACTGTGATGTTATTTTCTTTATCATTAATTAGTCCTTTGTGCTGACCATCCTTCTACTTTGAGTTAGAGTCTAGCACATTCAAGTGGATGGGATAGACTGAGTCTAGTGGGAGACACTTGGAGTGGTTCAACCAGAGTGGCCTCTGATAAAGACAATGAAAGCAGAAGGGTAATTCAATTTGACTTTGGATTGTGGCTTGCTCTCTTGCCTTTGGCAGAGCACTCCCAATGGAAATGAACCCTTTGGCTCAGGAATGGTTGTTTGCTAAATGACGTGTAAAATCACATATCATCTGTTCTCTTTAACAATTTATGACTGGGTGGGAACTGTACCTAAATTTCCATCATGATGCTGCTTTGCCACCCTGCTAGGAAACAGCTGGTAAGTATTTACTGTAAATGGCCTTTTTGTTGTTGTTGTTCCTTTAATTTTTATCACTTAGAGTACTCCCCTGCGGCAGTGCCATATGTTTCACACAAAATATAGTGGTTATTGAGTTATTATTTACAGCTGGAGTTGGAAAGCTCACGTTTTGTGAGCCACAGTAGGAATTTGTTGAGCTTTTCACTTTTCATTAAATTCCTCTAAGGCTAACATCAGATTATGACAGCACAACCTCATGAATATACAATCAATCTTGCTAGATTTTGTTACTTTTTTTCTAGCAAAATAAAAATCAATTCTTGCTTTCATACATAAAACTGTCATGGAAACAGTGATCTTAGAAAACAGAATAGATAATTCATGCTGGACTTCTAAGTCATGATGTGGCTGTCTATGGTAGAATATTGGGATATGTCAGTTACTTGATTACTGAGGAACTTTGCTTGTCCACAGAGCCATCAAATAACAGTGGGATCTGAATAAAATGATCTAGTCCATTTTAGTGAACTTAAAGAAACTTCAATGAGTTCTAAATCTGTGTCAAGTGTTGCCCTGTAGATACAAAGATGAAAAGAGAATGTGGAGCTCCTAAGAGGAGTTGGAGTACTATTTATCAGTGGAGAACAGTCAAGGAAGACCTAATGCAGTGAGAACCTTGTAAAGGATCCTGTCTTGAACAGCGAATTTCTTAGTCATACTGAGGAGGTGAGAACAGGCCAGGGCAGAGGGGCCTTTCAGTAGAAGATGATGCCGTAAGGAAGAAAATAGTAATTACATGAAGACTGAGCACTGGGGAATAATGTCCAACAAGGAAAATATTCCTGGTGTGCACAGAGTGAGAAAGACTGCATGCAGTGCACGCCAGTGCCACATAAACAGAGGATCAGTGGAAACTCTTTATAAAACCTATGTTAGCTAAATCTTGTTACCTGAACCAAGAAAAAAAAAACAAAACAAAAACTAATAAAACAGGGCTGAAGTAGTTATAGCAAGAAAAATTATTAATGAGTCTAGGTTGTGTTTCTAGGTCATATGATAGATAAATGCTTAGCAAAGAAAGACAGTATTTGATTTTAAAATCAAAGCAAACTCTGAATGAATAAATGAATGAATGAATATCTGTAAGATGAGATGCTGACCAAATGTTTCCGTATTTGAACATCTAAATAATCCAAAGAAAATTAATACTATATCCCAATTACCAATTACTAAGAGTCAAAATCTTGTGTGTGTGTGTGTGTGTGTGTGTGTGTATGCCCACGTGTGTGCACATGCACATGTGTGTGAAGGCCAGAGTTGAATTTTGGATATCATTCTTTGGAATCTTCCACTTTGATTTTCTTTATTTTTTTGATTTATTTATTTTTGTTTTATGAGTACGAATGTATTGTCTGCATGTATGTACGTGCACCACATGCATGCAGTACCCATGGAGGCTAGAAGAGGTCATTGGGTCTCCTGGAATTGGAGTTATGGATGGTTGTTAGCCATTGTGTGGGTGCTGGGAATCAAAACCAGGTCCTCTGCAAGAACAGCCAGTGCTCTTAACTGCTGAGCCATCTCTCTAGCTCCCACCTTGATTATTTTGAGACAGGGCCCCTAACTGAGAACAGGGGCTCACCAATTAGGCTAGACTGCCTGGCCATGGAGCCCCAGGGATCCTCCTCTCTCTGCCTCCCCAGCTATGGGATTACAAGGATTATGTAGATACTGGGGCTGTACACATGTCCCCATGCTTGCAAACCAAGCACTGCACTAACCAAACTATCTTCCTTGGCTCCAAAGTCTTTCTTAAACATGTAAATAATACATTTTTACAATATATAAACAGAAGTCCCCCCCTTTTGTAAATTTTCCAAATGTTCTGCTGTCTGTCAGACTTACACTGAATTTTTATAGGTTACATTTAAATGATGCATTGAAAGAATATTCTGTAGGTAGAATATATGTTCTGTGAATATAAACATAGTCATTGGGGTATTGTAATTCTTTTAAATAACATCCCTAAATAAGCCTTAGGAGTCTAAAGTATTCTGCTTGGCATTTATAGGTATGACTAAGCTTTTTCCCATCTTTATATTTTATTTATATTTTCCCATCATATATTTATACATATATGTTTATGTATCAACATATTCTGTGATAATATGACTTGTGAGATTTGCACACTGTCAAAGAGCTTATTTTCACTTTGTTAAATTAAAATAAACTATGTAATGAAACAAAAGTATACTTCAAAAATGTGATTTTCCTTTGCCTTAATTGTTTCTACTATTTCTCCCAGGAGTCTTTATTTATATTTATGACCAGAGTTTTAAAGTAGTTTTAGGGATGTGACTGCAATATCCTAGATGTGATTCAATTTGTCTGTTCATATTTTCTTTTCACTGTGTTTATATTACATGACCCAAATACTTAGGTTTGTGCTACTTGGAATGAATTAAAGTTTTAGTTCATGTTGTAACTACTTATTCAATAAAAATACACATAAAAATGGACTACACCATATCTACACTCCAGTTCATAACCACAGTTATGCTGTAGCATAACCACAGTTTATACTTTCTCTGTGAATCTGCCAGCCTCTGTTTTAAGGCAGACAGAAGTTTCACATATTACTATCTGAATAGAAGATCATATAAAATATTAGTAAAAATAAGGCTAGGCGTGGTGGTACACACTTTTAATCCCAGCATTTTGGAGGCAGAGGCAGGCGGGTCTCTGTGAGTTTGAGGCTAGCCTGGTCTACATAGCGAGTTCCAGGCCAGCTAGGGCTACAGGGAGACTCTGTCTCAAAAAGACAAAAAAAATAGTAAAAGCAGAGCTAAGAATTCAGCTATAAAATAATTTAGCATGATTAAATACAAGTCAGGTGTGGTGGCTAATACTTATAATTACAATACTCTGGGGATTAACACAGGCCATTTCCCCACATTTGAGGCCAGCCTGGGCTACATAGTAAGTGCCAGGACAGCCTGGGATACAGAATGAGACTGTCTCAAAAAGCAAATGAACAAATAAACCATAATTGAATATGATTTGGTGCAATACTTTTCAAATACTTTTACTTCTTTGTGTCTGGACTCTGCTGTCTCCAGTGCATTTTAGGATTTTCCAGACTTTTCCAAGGGCCCAGTCATATGCATTGTTACAGGTCCACTCAAATGCCACTTTCTCAAAGAAGCCTTCTCTTCAATAATAAGCAATGTTTTCAACCTTCTAGTTCTCATGGGTTGGTGCTATTACAGTGAAGTAATGATTAACTGTTATACAGCACTTACTATGGGCCAGCCAGTATTCTAAACATCTTGCATAGAGTAATAGTTTAGTCTTCACAGTTGCTCCATGAAGTAGGTTACTAAGATCACCATTAATGAATGAAGAAAATGATGCACAGAGAAGTAAGCTTATCAATCCAGGATTTGAACTCAGGCCGATAGCTCCAGAGCTTCTACCACTAGCTACTATGCTTCTTGTGATACATCTCTATGATATCCATGGCATTTTATTTCATACATTCTATTACATATATTCTCTTTCTAATACTAAAATATAGGATTCATGCTCAGTTTCAAAATTCAGTAATTGTTTTTTCAGCTGAATTTTGCTGGTTCAAGCAAAGCCACTACATATACCTTTATGACCCCTTTGCCCCTCTCCTTGCCCCAGCTGCTCCCTTGCCTGCCTTATTGCTGGTACTCGGGTTTATCTTAAGCTTTATCTAGTTGCAGAAGGCTTCATTTTAATCATATACTGGTGCTTTTATCTAAAGGTTTTTAATACAATTTTTTGAGAGGACTCTGCCAGTATTCTATTGAAGAAAGTAGGTGAATACAGATGAAGTAGATGAAAAAGACAGAGACACTCACAATAAAACCATCCTTTATATACTGTATACTTGTTTGCATCAATACATGGCTATTTTTTTGGACACTATCTCGTTTAACCACAGCAATATAGTGAGGTGATTTTAAGTATCTCCATTTTGGAAACGAGGCTCAGAAAGACCAGGGGATTTACTTAAGGTCACACAGGTCACTGCCAAGCCCATTTCTCTCTCCTGTCTGTCTGACTTGTAAGCACTAAACTGCGAGGCTCTAGTGCTTCTTCCAGAATTATGAAGATGTATTTGATGAGTGACTAGATATATGTACCAAGGTTAGTTATCCTCCCTCTTATTATTCAACCAGATGAAACCTTCACCTTCATGGCACAATACGGGTAATGTCCAAATTACACCTGGTGCTGATGGTCTCTATACCTATCCTTGTGAGAAATTCCCAGGAAAAACACTCATAAGAAGAAAACCAAACGGCTTACAATATATGGTGGGCACAATGCCGTCACTCTCCACCTCACTGACAGGGTTCTTCACCAGGCAGCTGTAGCTCCCAATGTCTTCCTTTGTCACTGGAACAATCTGAAGCGTGTTGTTTTGGGGCGAAAAGGAGTACGTAGAGCTGATGTGAACAGGTTTCCCATTTTTCCGCCACTGGTAAACCAGCCTGGTGCCCCCTTCCACATGGCAGGTCAAGGTCATGTTGCCCACATACTCCACAGCCCCGGAAACAGGATGAGTCTGCACCACCGGCTTCGTGACAGGATCTGCAGTGTTAAGAGACATAGAAATGATTTCTGCAATTTATGGCATTATTTTAAAACACTAAGACGTAACTCCAGTATTGAGTCCTGGAGAAATCATTCCAACATTTTTTTTTACATTTTGTAAATGTAGACAGTTCAGGCAATAATTAGAGAATAGAATGCTATAGAAATTTTAAAACAGTAAAATATAAAAATATCTATAGTCAGAGTTTACCAAATTCTAGAACTTAATTCTTCAAGTATTGCCAGTTAAGTCATTTGCTTTTTATAAAATTCAGTTAGTACTTGAGAACTAAGTCTTCCTTATTGCTTGTTCATTGTGCTTCCCCTAACATCAAAATCTCTCTCTCTCTCTCTCTTTCTCTCTCTCTCTCTCTCTCTCTCTCTACACATTATATATTCTGTAATTTTTCAAAGGTAGATACTAGAGATGGAACACAACACCTCATATATGTTAGGTAAGTGTTCACCACTGAGAACACTTGGCACCATCTTCCATGAAGGTATATATGTAAAATGTATATGGTTAGTCCCCTCTCTTGATTTATGATGTACCAAGAGCAGATGGTATAGATGATATGGTAACCCCAAACTTTCATCTACCATCTGAAAAATATATAAGCATATGTATAGTATACTATTGAAAACCCAAGGGAGCATTTTCGGATAAAGTGAACTCACATATTCACAGTTTGTTTAACAAACCAAAGCCTACATTTCAACATTGAATCAGTCTGACAATAGGATAAGATGTATTATTGGAATGACAATATTTAAGATATAAAAGTCAAATACTGTAGACATTCTTGTTGGAAAGTAAAGTGACAAGAAAATAGCTTTATTTTATAAATGTGGCATATAGTAGTCAAATGAATAAATTTACAATAACAAGTGAATATTTCCTCTTTGACTTTTAGCTCTAAAATATACGGCTAAGTGTGGTAATTATATATGCTCTCACAACCATTCCAGCAAACTTCATCAGTTTTTGATATTCTTTATTCTATTTGATAGAAATTGTGAGTTGTGGGTCAGTGCTTACTCTCAGTGGGGAAAGCACTCGCTGCCAAGCCCGAGTTCAATCTCCAGATCACATACAGACACACACAAATAAGTAAATAAATAAATAAATAAATACTGACTTGCTCAGAGTCACACAGCCTTCAGTAACAAACAGAAGAGGCCTTTATACTAGGCAATGTTTTCTACTGAATTTTGGAGAGACACACATTTAATAGTCTCCATCTACATATTATCAGAGATTACGAATAAGATGACACATAGGTGACCTATAATTGGAGCGAGGACTTAGGCTTCGATTTTCTATCAAACTTTTAGTTGAGTTTGAAGCATTTTCCTCAGGAAAATTTATCTTGCATTATGGCTACATTTTCCTACAATGGAACTCTTGTGTCATGGCACAAACAGACCAAAATCTCCAGCCCAGAGGAGATAGAAACAAAGGAAAGACAGGAAAAATGAGTTTGGAAGCAACTTGTAAGGGAGCTGGATAAGTCGGAACTTCTAGTATTTTTCAAGGTGGATGTCATGTACTGGCTTGTCCATTTAATTCAATCCTTTGTCTTCCTTGGCAAGAGAAAAGAGTTTGCAATAGCATCATGAGTATGTTATTATGATTTTAAAAGAAAAACGAATTGTGTACATTTATCATATGTGAAATTTTCTAGGCATCTGTGTATGGAAATGTACATGATATGCAATCATTAGGCACCATGGCATCAGTATTGTAGGAAAGCCAATCATTATAGTCATCAGGATTATGATTTTATAATGCCTATAACAGTGTAACAAAGACGTGTTTACTTTGTGAGAATTTTGATTAGGCCTTAACATACTTTACTAATCCTTTGATTTCACTTTAAGCAAATGCACTTCACAACATGTATACATGCAAGGGTGTTCTATTAAAAGCTTTGTAGAAAACTTTCAGGAGAACTTTATGAAAAATCCTATTACGTGTTTCTTCTCTTTCCCAATAATTGGTTTTGAGACATCTACCTCCACAGCCTTTGTCTTAGCTTCCCTGCAGCTTTCCCTGTCTCCTCTGCTGATACTCAGTACTGCACAGATGGGTACTGAGGCTGCTGATAGCCAGCAAAGGTTTGGGCACTGAGGACAAACCAGCAAGAATACAATGTTCCTTCCCCCATGGACTTATATTCTAGTCAGAGAAGAGAAAGACTAAAATAATAAAATAATAAAAGTAACCTTTACAGGTGTAGTATGAGCTATGAAAAGAGATAAAAGTGCATTGAAGATAGACAGTGATGGTTTTGTGTGTGTGTGTGTGTGTGTGTGTGTGTGTGTCTGTGTTTGAGAGAGGGATGACATTTTTATAAATAGGGTGTACAGGAAAAACTTCTTAGATATGACATTTGAGCTAAAAACCTTAAAAAAAGGAAATAATATTTAGGATAAAGCCATCTGGATAGAGTGAACAAAAACTGAATTGTGTGTTTGTCCTGCTCTAAGGAGACCCCTGTGGCCAGGACAGAGGGAGTAAGGTGACAGAGGTAGGAAATGGGGTCAGATAGGTTCAGGGTATGTTGGGACTTGCAGGTTATTGTTAATGTTATGACTTACATTTAAAGTGAGATAGGAATCTAGGAGAAGACTTTGCTGGGAAAGGCAAGAGCAGAAGCAGAGAATAGGGAGCAAACTATTACAGCAGCTTAGGCTAGCACTAGGGGTATGAGAAGGCAGGAACAGGGGTTAGGGGGTAGACGTTGCTGGACTCCATTTTGAAGATAAAGCCAATGGGGTTTTCTTGTTTGTTATGTGAAAAAGTGATGGTCAGTGATGTCTTCAAGCTTTGGCCTGAGCAAGTAACAGAATCAATTTAATATTTACTAAAATAAGAAATACTGTCAAATAAATAGAGAGAAAAGTGAGAAGTTGGGTTTTGTACATAGTATATTCAAAATATGCCACTTATATATTTTAAAAAGAAAACAACAACAACAAAGGTCCAAATGTTAGCTGATTCCACTCCTCCTTAGAAAACATGTTCAAAAATGTTTGCTGAAGGATGTCCTTATATAAGTCTTTAGTTCATCCTTCCTTAAACATAACACTAAATAAAAATCCTCATTTAATAAAAGCCGAGTTCTTCCCAGCATACAGCCTACTGTTGAGAAAATAAATTTGTCTTCATCTCATTCTACCAGCACCTATATATTGACAGTTCCCAGGAAAAGAGTAAAGTTTACTTATTCTTTAAAAATCTATTGCTGGGCACTGAGCATATTCCTTATATACATGTCTAGTTTAATCTCAGAAACCACCATTAGGAAAGCCTTGAGGGTTAATTTAACTTACTCAAGAGTTGCAAGAGCCAGGACTTTGAAGGCCAGGAAGCTTGATGCTCTAAGCCTCTGCCAACTCCATCTAGCCTCCTATATACTGTCATAGTGAACTCACCATCAACAGTGACTTGTATCTTCTGACTTGAGGATAGAGTTCCATTTCCCTGGATGTTGACCTTAATGATGTAATTTCCCTCATCTGTGAACTGTAGTGGGTTGATGAGCAGAGATGCATTGGGTGGCATCATGGTGAACTTGTGCTGGAATTCCAAGTCAGGAACCACAGATTCATTCACAGAACCCAGCAAGTATTTAGGCATCGTGTGGGGTCTTTCAAACAGCCATATGATCTGGATGTCAGATGCCGGAGTGTGGAAGCCATAGTGCACAGGGAGGTAGAGGGCCTGTCCCCTGATGCCATGGACAGTGTGCGATGGCACTGTCACCTTCAGCCCTGAGCAAGTACCTACTGCAAAGGGAAGGAAAACTGTGAGAACTCTGAGCCACATCTCATAGCCCAAGAAGGCAACTGCAGAGAGAACCTAGTCAGATGATAGTCCTTTTCAAAGAAGAAGGCTTCTAAGTACTGACTATTCTAGCACCAGTTACAGGTAGGGGTAAATATTTGTCTCTGAAAACTGCATTTGAAAGTCTCCACCCAGTGACTCTGCCAGTTGCTTGACTTCTCTAAAAACAAGACAAAAAGGAAAAGCAGAAGTTGTTATCCACTGCTATTAAAGAATAATAGGAAAAGAAGAACTGGGAAAGATTATGAGTTCTAAAGTTCAATAAGACCATTAAATACATTTTAAATTATGACTATGTTAATATCTGTGTCATTTCATATCTTGAATCTTGAAGCTATACAATTCCTGAAATACTGAGGGCTTATTTTCTTGCAAAAATGACTGCAAAGCTTTCCAAAATGGCTTAATATTCTATTTTTTGGAAGTTTTCTCTTTTAGTCAAAGCCAATCAAATGTGAATAACCTAGTAAAAGTGGCATTAAACTGTTACCAATTAACACCAGTCATTCTGGTCTAGTGAAGAATCTTATTGGTGTATTTGAGTCACAGCAGGGGGCAAGCTAAAATGGAACAGAATGGAGAAGAAGGAGCCCAGTGAGATATGAGGTCAATGATAGCCTAGATAAACTGGGACGGATCTTAGGACCATGGTGGTCCCGGGCAATTGTACACTGACTGAAATGGGAATGTAACAGGGAGGCCCCTTGGGAAGTGGCTGCAACAAAACAAGCAAGAGATGATGGTGCACTGAGCCAGCATGGCAGCAAGCAACAGAGCAAGAAAAGGCTGGCTGTGTCGTAAAGATTAGCTAATGTGCCAGATGTGGTGGCTCATGCCTTTAATCCCAGCACTCTGGAGGCAGAGGCTGACAGATCTCTTTGAGTTCAAGGCCAGCCTTGTCTGCAGGTTCCAGGCCAGTTGGGGCTACAGGGAGACCTTGTCTCAAACCGCCCCTCCCCCTTGAAAAAAAAAGATTAGCTAAGGCATTCCAAGGTGAGGTAGAAGAAACAAAGAGGAGTCAAGAATGATCTCAATGTTCTTGACTTAGACCAGCTGGAAGAATCAAGTTGTAATTAATAAATCATTGGACCAAGACAGAGAACCATTTGTTTTGAGGGTTCATGAGGAGATTATAAGTCAGTTTAGGGCATACTCATTTTGATAAGCTTATTAGATGCCCAAGAGGCAATGTTGAATGTATATACTAAACATGAAAACCATATTAGAGGGCGTTTAGGAGGGAATTAGAGGCCTGGATGGCTGTGAAGCACGGAACACTGTCCAATGCACAGTCCTATACAGTGCCTGGGTTGTTTGGACCCATGAACTCATTGCTGTGGCTATGTCTTATGTTTGCATGTTTATTTATATCTTCTGGCACCTAGAAGTCCCCCAGTCTTATACTGAAACATTATATATGCATGCATGTTTGTGTAGCATATATACATATACTTATTTAAAAAATTTTTTTGATCTTTTTGAGACAGGGTCTCCCTGCAGCACCAGCTGACCTGGAACTCACTATGTAGACTAGGCTGACCTCAAATTCACAGAGATCCACCTGCCTCTGCTTCCCAAGTGCTGGAATTAAAGGCATACACCACCACATTTGGCCATACATATACTGATATACACATATGTATACACACATATTGTCACACATATTTACCACTTCTATATGTTTGCAATGAGAGAATCATCAGGGTACTATATTTTGAAGTTTGAACTGAAAGTTTTTTGCTTCACTTTATGAGGGAGGCACTATCATCAGAGGGACATTTGAAATGACGGAGCAGTAAGAAGAATTTAGATGTAAACCATTTTCAACACTGAAAGATTAAAGAGAATGGAACAGAAATTTAAGAGAATGAGCATAGATGCTCTGAGGAATTTTTTCTGTGCTGGACAGGAACTGGACGGGAATATAGAATGTGAAATCAAAGTTAGGTACTAGGTAAGGTCTGCTAGAAAGGGAAATGTTGCTGGAACAGACTGGTGATGGATGATGGTGGAATGAAATTTCTGAGTACGTGAGATGAGATGGAAATTGGGACCAATCACGGGATTCTAAATTTCAGTTTTCTTATATGTACATATATAATGTTTATCTTCTTCAGTTGCTTTCTTTTTCCATTGTTTCTAGGAAAAATGGGGTTTATAAGCTTCAGCTAACTGATATTATGGAAGGCAGTTGATACAAAGAAGGAAAAGGTTTTGTGATCATTTCCACGGAGAAATTCAAGCCGGCTGTTCTTCTACTAACAGTAAGTTTTACTCTTTCCTTCCCATGGTTGAGAGTGAGATTCCAGGACTAGCAAGGAAGTTAAAGCAAAGAATTCATGACAGAAATCACAAAGAGGAACAGAAGAGGAAGTGAAAGGGAGAAGAGACTCCTTGGCATTTAACTGACAATGCCCATATGGACTGAAATGTGTGACTATTTGGGGAATTAAGGACTTGCCTGATAGTCAGTCTCCTGGGCCTCTGTGAGTACTTGGGATAAACATAATGTTTTTGAGAACAGACTGTACTTGCACATTCACTTTACTGTGTCCATATGAAAGGCATCACAAGGTGGGATGATGTGTTTCTGTATGGACAAGTACAAGAACATTAAATATGGAGTTTTACTAATTTTCATTTTTTTAAGAACCCAATAAAGGGATGCTTTTGGAAGCCCTTGTCAATAAACTCCAATGGACTCTCATTGCCCTGTTCTGACTTTTTTCTAGTTCCCTGCCTAGAACTTGTAATGCTAATTACTCTTGCCTTTACTTCTTATTCACAGCTCCTATTCATGATTCAAGGACTTTCTTTTCCCCTTAGAGACAAGAGTTATGCAATTTGGGAGTCTTTTAGATAGACCCATTGAAAGGGTACTCCAATTGCCTCACCCTGCATCCCTGTTCAGCATGGAAGAAGCCAGAGTGGTCTGCATCCCTATTCCCTATTGGCAATTTGGGTAAATCCTTCAAGAGGATGATGATATAAGAATAGGAGGTAGGAATTGGCTAGGCAGTTAGGGTAAAAAGACCTCAAAGAAAAGTAGCCAGTTTCTGGGCCAAAAGTCAAAATGTTCTTGGGCCTATTAGCAACACACTCTGTTCCAAAGGTCAAAACTGTCAAAATGTCAAAAGTATTTGGGAGCTAGTATCTAATCCTTAAAAGATTTTAGGGTTACCTTTTCAGAGGGGGGGATGTTGGAGGGGAGGGAGTGGGCATGGATTTGATCAAAACACCTGATATGCATGTATGAAATTCTCAATAAAATTTTTGTAAAAGTTAAAAAAAAAGAAATAGGGAACTGGGTGCTGGGAAATCTAAGGAGGAAAACTGATTACAGCAAAGGAGTAGAATTTTACAGGGAAACTATAGGAGGGAAAAAGTAAGTTCATCAACTAATTCAATGTCTTAAAACTAGTGATGTCTAAGACATGTGAAGCTGAGCCTGGGAGAGGAGAAGCTTTTAAAGCTAGACATTTAGAAAGACACTGGGCTTCAGGATGGAGGACCAGAGCAGGAGCAGACTCCTCCTAGGATTTTTTTTCTTCACAAACCTATACTTCCACACCTTTTGAAATAAATAGAAACTAGCTTTAGTACTAGTATTATGAGCATTCAGTATTACTATCTTGAGGTACACAAAATGTAATATTTATCATATCTATTGTGTTACTAGGCTCTCTCTCTCTTTTAACTTTACTACTAATCATGTGTCAAAGTTCATTCCTGATCCTAGACTACTATGTCATATGTAACTACGTTTATCATAGAGTCTTAAATTCATCACCTGCAAATTGCCCTGAAATGAAGATAATCAGGATCATATTTTCTAAGCTTGCAGAAAGTATTTGATACTTTGATAAAGTGAAAAATCCACTGAATTGTGAAGTCACAGTAAAGGACACATACTTGGTATGAAATAGTGCTTAGTCTGTTATTTTGACCTCAAATAAGCCATTTAAATCTCAGTACGTTGTCTTGTGTGTGAGAGAGGGTATTATGAGATGAAGTTGACAGCCTTTCTCTGATCTCTGATTGTTCATGTTCTTGATATGCTGAGTTATTTTTCTCAGGTAGCAGCTATGTACATTTCAATATGAAAAGTTCAAAAAATAGAAATAACCAGTCTTACCATTTAGTCTACTTATTAAGTTGTCAGTTCCTGGATAGACTTTAATAAATTGGCAATTCTGTGTTTGTTACCAAGAAATCAAGGGGGCATGGTGGGTAATCACATCATTGCCTTGAGAATGCACTGGGAAGAGCTGCATGGCTGCTGACATAAATGAGGTGGTTGCCTCTGGCATTGAGCAGCTTTGTCACTGACTTACTGGTGCATTTAAGACATTTCACAGCTCACCCTGGAGTCCCGGCTAGACTAAGATGTTGATATATGAAGCCTGAATGCCATTTTAGCCAATTTCTTTTTCTCATTTTAGAAAATTATTAAAGAAGTTACTGCTCTTTTTTCTTCAGTCTGTATAACTGAGATTGAAAACGATTGGTTGAAATTTAGTTAATATTCTGGAAATGGCTGCTAGGTCAGTATCATTGGAACAGAAATGTTACTGATTTTTGAATGTTGGTCCACAGTGTTGGCTCTCAACTGTGAGAAAGGTGATTTAAAGAGTTTAAATAAGTTATGAGGAGAAACTTTTATTTCATAAGACATTAAATGCAATACAAATATTGTAGCTCAGAGACAAATAAAACTACTTTAGTAGAAAATAACATTTTTTACATTATGTAGCCCACGCTGGCCTGGAACTCATGATCTCCCTGCCTTAGCCTCCTGAATGCAGGGATCTATAACAATTTATATGGCATTTATAATCAACTTATAAAGTAGGAGAAACAATTCTTTGAGCTAGTTTAGAGAATGATTCATGTAACAATACCTTAAATAATATATTGCCATCAACATCTCTGAATATACTCAATGCTTCCATATAAAATGAAGAATTCCTTTTCAAATATGTGTGCTTTCTGTTTTCACATATGTATGTGACAGTGAGAGAGAGCACAGCTGTTACAATAGCTGCTTGCTTGGAGATTGTTTACTTTTAATTTAATTTAATTTTATTTTATTTATTTTATTTTGAGACAGGGTTTCCCTGTAGCCCCAGCAGGCCAGGAACTCACTATGTAGACCAGGCTGGCCTTGCTCTCACAGAGATCCACCAGCCTCTGCCTCCTGAGTGCTGGGATTAAAGGTGTGTGCCACCACATTGTCTACAATATTTTTATGGGACAAATTACAAGCAAAAAGTGGTAAAGGTGTTAGAAAGCAGAGGAGTTATACTTATGTCAGCCACCGAAAAATCTTTTTGTCAGTAAAGACTTAGATCTATTGATACATATAATCATTGTGAGATTCGGCAAATAAAGAGGTAACTGGCCATTTCTTCTACATTTTAGAAATACATATTATTTCTTCTGATGTGTTTCTTACTACAGATGCAACAAATCAATGATTTCAAACACAGTAATTTGCTAATTAAAAAAATAACCTTCACTTCGAGAAATTGTCGAGTGCCACTTTCTACTGCACGAGGGAACTTACAGGACTAAAACATTTCACAGGCTCTCTCTGTGTGAACAAACAAACCTATGACATAAAAATTAATAAAAATTTTACTTTTTTCTTAATATTTTAAATATTTGGATATAAATGGAAATTTAGTTTCATTAGCTTCACTAGTACTTTCTGAGTATAGGAAAAGAGAACTGTTAAGACCTTTTGCCTTTTAGACATTAACACTAACCTAGAGAAACGTTGATAATATTCATAATCTGACGGGCAGAATACAACAATAATTTCCCTTTGGAGACTTCTCAAGAGATATCTTTAGTATCTTTAGACTATTATCTTTAAAAAGTATATAGAGTTAAGGAATACTTGAGATTATACTGTAAAAATATCCACATTCCAGTAACAAAGGACTCCTGAGACAAGTTTCACTGTATTAAATATAAACATTAGGTTTTACAAAGTGACCTCTACTGCAGCTCAAAATAGTTGGCATTTATTTTGCCATTTATCATGCACAGTATTAGCAAGCATAACACAACTACTGTTGACTGGAAATAAATTCCCACATCTTTAGAGAAAACAGAAATTATGAATCTGTATTTTGAATAGATTGCTAAATTACACATTTCAGGCTTAATTAAAAAAATTTTTTTAAAAGAAGGCACTAAGAAAGTTCAATTCTTTAAGAACAAAAAGATTTGCATATTACCTGTGTTCTTTATAACTTACTACCCAAGGAGAAAAGTAAATTTGCATAAGAAAGACAGCCTTAAGATGTAATATCAACTTTATGTATGAATATGTGATTTCTCTCAAGTGTATTTTAATTTTATTTTGGTAAAATTTCTCAACTGAATTTCTCCTGAATTCTTAAGGCCAATTTCAAAAATATCATTTATAAAAATATAGCATTCCTACTGTTTTAAAAATTAAAAACAAATGGGACACCAACATAGGTCAGTTTAAAAGCAAAGGAAACTGCTGAAATTATGGTAATTGTTCAATTAAAAAACTCAAGACATAAAAGTGGATTATAAGTTTAAATTTGACATGACCATTATAACTGGGATGATAACAATTATGGGAAACAAACACTTAAAATTTTGAAGATTGTGGTTTCACATCAGTGAGATTTAGATGCATTACATTCAAATGTGAATAATAATCACATTTTAATGAGAACTGTAACAAAATATATTAGTGAAAGTGAGGCTCTAAATTACTGAGAAAGTTTAAAATTAAAATTGCTTTATGTATCTAAGTTATCCTTAAAATTTTAGAAATAAAATTCCTTTTAAACATCTGTCTGCTGGATATAAGCAAAATAAAAACTAATTTAACTTTTAAGACTTGAAACAGAAAGACTGGAAATCAAGGTATAGGGTGAAAAGAATGTTGACGGGTAAAAAGGGTGGAATGGAGAACAGAGAAAATTCTAAGAATAGAAGAGACAGAGAAAAATATCAAGATACAGAGAAAAATATAATAGAATTAGATATTGGCAAAGAGAAAAGCTAAAGGCTTCTTGGAACAATAATTTAAAAAACACACATCTCTCTTATCAGTTTAGCAAGAACTTCATTATTTTCCATTTTTATAATAAAGCAGAATCGACAGATTGTATACTACCTTTAATTTAAGCAGTATCTTTAATTAGAAGAAAGTCACTCCTATGAATTGCTTTGAATTTCATTCTGTGTTCATAATTTCATGAATTATTAGAATACTCGCCAATTAATATTTGCCATTAAAGATTATTGAGCCTATATGTAAACCCTGTACAAAGATGAAATTCATTAGATTTTTATGTTTTAACTTTCTTAGTGAGTACTATTGACAATAGCTGTTGTTCCAAGAAAACAATAACAATCATTTACTGACCCTCATTTCTCCTATGTGTTCCTGTTTCTTTGCTGGAACAGTGTGTTACTGTTAAAAGGTTCTGACCTGTTCTTCAATTATCTGAGAAAATCCACAGCCTAAAGCAAATATTTATCTTATGCCTACGAAACAAAAAGCCACAAATCCCCAACAAAACCAAAACCCCAAATACTTAGAAGGCAATTCATGCAAGGCCTTACCTAGGAGAAGGAGGTATATTTTGCACTGAAAGATCCCAACCGTGCTGCTGAGGGGCTCCATGAAAGCATCCTGTCCCATGCATACGGAGCCCTGTTCTCAGTGGCAAGTTGGTGCATGGACCAGCAGCTGCTAGTTTATTTGCTAGGGAAATTAGCAGTGAGGTAACAGACCCTATCCTGCCTCTTGCCTCTGTGATTTGAATACAGAATGAATGTGTATACAAAGGACACAGGGAGTGGAAACACCTGTTATATGCTTTGCAAGAATACAGGGCTATGGCTTTTGGAATAGCTTCTTAGGGATTCTCAGCAATCTTCAGCATAGTTTTATAAATTGTACTTAGTTATTAACAATCAGAAGGAGGAAAACATCCCTTTGGGTGACTTCATAATAAATAGAAGCAAAATCTTGTTTTCTGTTATGAAAAATCATGGAATTCTTTTGGAATTTAAAAAGTTTTTTCTTTAAAAATTGAAGGGCTTCATGTGTCTGCTAAGCAGCTATTCATCTTCATGAAGTTACTAATTAACATGTGAAGACTGTATCAAATAGTCAAAACAATGCATGACAGTATTTTTAAAATGTATTTTTCTGTGCTATATTTTCTATTATAAATGGCAGCTATGGTTTTCCTGAGTCTACAGATTCATTTTATTTTAAGATTTATTTTGTTTTTAATTATGTGTGGGTCAATGTGTGGGTACGTGCCTGTGAATGGAGGGGCCCAGGTGTACCCATGGAGGCCAGAGGCATCAGATCCTTCCGGAGCTAGAGTTACAGGCATTTATAAGCTGCCTGATGTGGGAGCTGGGAAACAAACTAGTGTTCTCCATCACAGCAGTACATACTCTTAATCGCTGAGCCATCTCTCTAGACTTCATCGTATTTTAATAAACAAGCCACAGGTATATTTACAAGTGGGGCTGAAATATGTGTTGTGCATAATTAGAATGAAAAGTCTATGCCAACAAATAATATCTGAGGCCATATTTTCACAGTTGAAGCTTAGAGGAAGTGAACCAGTTATCCAGAAAACAATCTTGTCTTGCTGCGACATCCCGGCTACATCTTCCTAGCCTAGCTTCTTCGTTGTCATGGAAGAGAACTTCTGCTTAACTAAGTTACATGTTAACCCTCACTTGTAAGAAGGCTCTGGTTCAAGCTTTCCAACTATATGAAATGGAAAATATATAGCCAAATCTGACTTAAATCAAGCAAAATTCCTAGCATAAGTCAGTTTTAACAGTAAAGCCCATGGAGGAGATCCAATTAGAAGGAAGAAAGAGAGGGAGGAAAGGAGAAGGAGGGAGGGAGGGAGGATGGAAGGCAGGAGGGCAGGCAGGCAGGCAGGCAGGAAGGAAGGAAGGAAGGAAGGGACAAGGGAGGGAGGGAGGGAGGAAGGCAGGAAAGAAGGAAGTAAGGAAAGAGTGATACTGTTATTCAAGTGTTATTAAAAACAAAAAGGGACACTTCACATCAAAGTTGTTTAGAGGGGATTCTAAAATATTGTTGGGAAACCGAGTTCTCTTCACAGTTCAGTCACTTTATGATTGTTCCATTCCTCAGAAATATTGCAAGAGCTTCCCCAACCCTAGGTAATGGCTATACCACAAGTTTCTCTGAAATCTCTAAATCTTTAACATGTTTCTGTTGCAGCATTTACCATATTCACCTCCATTTATTTAATTAGAGTATATTTTCTTTCTGAGATCCTTGAATACAGTGAATAGTCTTATTTATTTATGAGTTAGTTGACATCTACATATAGTGCTTATTTTTCTTAACATGTTTCCCCATGAATAAGCTCCATGTGCTCTTTAGCTTAAACTTTCCCATTCTTAGATGATCTGCAGTTGCTCTTACTAAATAAGAACTTTATAGTGTTATCAAAATAAGTGATGGTTATTTATGAAGATTCCTGGACTCTTGACAAAATGTGGGGAACTATGACAATGCAGTGGGTTTTTCCTAATGTCAAATATATTCTATTTAAAGAATTTTTTAATTTCAGTATTTCCCCACTTTTTTGTTTAAAAATATCCACTATTTTGTGAAATAAGGTAGTATTAGGCATTACAATAATAAATTAAATACTAGATCTTTGTACCTGTGATCTTTTCATGTTATTACACACATCAAAACACTTTCAAATATTCTAAACTTAAAACACAAAACATTTTCAGTACCTGTATGGAAAGCAGAACCTTTACAAATGCCCTCTAGTGGTGGGTTGGTAGATATAACTACTTACCTGTAATTTCTGAATTCAGGATGTTTACAATTGAAGACATACAAGTAAATTTAACTTCAGTTGTTGTCAGCCTTGACAGGATTTTTGAAAATACTTGTGTTTTACCATTATAAGAAATTTCTCAGTGCAATTTCTCATAGCACAGTTACCAATATTCCCACTGTTTAGGAACAAAGAACAAAGGGGCTATATCCTTACTGTTTACTGAGCTTAGTTATATTTACATTTAAAATGAGAAAGCTGATTAACCTAAAACAATCTCTATCCATGATGATTAAATTTCCATCAATACAAGGAGTCACTGGGAGTGTGTTTTGAGAGAGAGAGAGAGAGAGAGAGAGAGAGAGAGAGAGAGAGAGAGAGAGAGAGAGAGAGAGAGAGAGACAGAGAGAGAGACAGAGAGACAGACTAGGGCAGAGCTGTTTTGTTACCTCTCTGGTTACACAACACAGTTTATAGTCTGCAGTGTTCCTATTCCATAGCCCAAACTCAGAGGACTCTTGTTCCCTTAGAAATCGCTTGTCTTGGAACCATCTTTCTCCCCAAACTGAACTGATAGAACTGCCTCACTGGAACTTCATTCCTGGAACTGTGTCTTTGAGCTCCGCCCCATTCATAATTTTATCCACAGTGGTTTTCTCCACTTTCATTTGGGGAAGTACAAGCTTGGCTTCATCCTAATCTTAACAGACCATCTAGTTTTTTCATCCCTAGTTCTAAAATATCTCATTCACCCAAGGTCACAAGTCCTTCCTTATTTCCATTGTGTGCAATGGAGATGGTTGTATTTGCTTTCAGTACTTTGATAGATTAATTCTCAAGCATGCCCATACCTACAGTCCTTTGTCACCTTTTTGGATGGAGTACCAAATTGAGGTTCCCAGGAAGAAGCTCAGGTGCCCAGATCACAAGACACAAGAACATGTGTTATACTAGAGTTCATTAAAAGTCAATTAATCCAGATTATTTTCATTTATAAAAGTCATTTCCACAATAGTTTATTTATTTTAAAGATTTTATTTTAAATTATGTGTATGTGTATGTCTGTGTGTGGGTATGTGGATATAAGTGCACATGCCCTCAGATGCTAGAGGCCTTGGAAACCCTGGAACTGGAGTCACCTGACATGGGTGTTGGGAACTGATCTCAGATCTTTGGCAAGAACAATATGTGCTCTTAACCACTAAGCCATCTCTCCAGACTCCAGGCAAGTTTATTTAAATTGTTAGGTATGTTTTTGTTTAAACAGCAAACATCTGTCTGCATTTCAAGCATTTATATTCTTTAATACACATTCTTTGAGTTCTTTGTAATGGCAAAAACAACTAAATGGTGATGAAATTCTCAAGTTGACATGAATAGTGGTACCTTAAGAACAACTGGGGAAAGACAGTGTCTATTGTTGTAATTACTATTACCAGTCTAATTACATTGATATGGAGGTGGAGTACAGTTTGCAGGAATAGCTGGCCACTAGAGGAGGGCATTACATATACAGATATGCATATATAGTTGACAGTGCAGCTTCCCGAAAGGTCCAGATTGTATTTTCAGGTCACATTAATAATTAAAATAAACATTAAATAACATTAAACATTAAAATAACAGGTAAAATGCATTGATGCATGATTTAGGACTCACCCTTCAATACAATTTAGAAAACCTTCAAGCAGTTCTTCACTTGCTATTTACACATCTGCAATAATCTTAGGCAGGTCCCTTAACTTCTCCATACCTGTTTCATCCTTCAAGAAAATATTTTATTTACGTGTATGAGTGTATTCCTGCATGTATAGAAGTGCACCTGTATCGTGCAGTGCCCGCCGAGTTCAGAAGAGGGTGTCGGATCCCCTGGAACTAAATGGTGATGGTTAGCTGCCATCGGGTGCTACCAATGGAACTCGGGGTCCCCTGAAAGAGCAGCGCTTAACGGCTGAGCCATCTCTCCAGCCGTAGAAATGGAGACAATAGTAACAATACCACAAGATGTTCATGTGGATGAATACATGAGATACATGTGAAGCTATTAGCAGAATTCCTCCCAATTAGTAATTTCAGTAAATGTTAGCTATTATTATTAACTCTGGGGTTTCCCCTGATACTCTCGGAAGTTCAAGTCCCTTTAAAGTCCAGTAACCACCATGCCCTCGTTACTTTCTCCAATTTAAATAACTAATGTTGAGGACTTTCAAGTAACACACGTCCTCATAATTATTGTTATATCTGTCTTGTCTTTGCTTAAGCACGCATAAAAATGATAGGTGGCGGGTCAGAAAAAATCTTCTGATTTCAGGACCTTTTCAGGGGAGCACATACAGACGGGATGGTCATCGACCTCTTAGGCAACCTTGTCCCACACTGCTTAGGCCAAACCTAGTGCTTCGCTTCAGAGAGTTCTACATTCTCAGGTCGCCCCTCAGAGAGCGCTCTTGGGGGGTTCCCTCACCTTTGCTCAGTCTCACATTCTTACACCCCACCCCTTCTAGCCCAGGAAGGTTTCTAAAGGGAGTACTGCAGGTCTGGATAACCTATCATGTCTTCAGTGTTTGTTGTTTAGCTCAAGGGCCAGAACACCTAAAACTTGTGTATACCCCTTGCACAAGCCCAGTTTGCGTCCAGGAGACGCTCACTCAAACCAAGACTTGCAGTTAATTGAAGCTTTGCTTCTTGGGAAATGTAGTATGCAGGCTTCCTTCCTTCTTCGATAGTTGTCGGAAGACTACATTTCCCAGAATGCTCAGGGAAAGGAAGGCTGACCCAGGTCGGCAGCTTCACGTGACTATTCACTATGGCTTCCCAGTGCTGGGGAAGGCTGTCTGGTTGTCCGGCGTGATTTGTTTCCTCTTTGTGGCGGGGTAATTGGCTCACGACTTCGACATGCAAAAAATCAAATCTCTGATGACCCGGCAGGTGAGTCCTGGTGACTGAAGTAAAAGTCTTCTTCCTACCGCGGGGGAGAGGAGCCTGGACGCCCAGAATCGGGGCGGCGGCGGGCAGAAACCGGTTCTGGGTGGTGGATGTCTGGGGTGCTGTGCAGCTAGGACGCACCCTGGAAAACTCACCCCAGCTACCTCGATCCGATCTCGACCCTAGTAGGTAGTGTTCTCCTAGAAACATTCCTGTAGACAAGGCCACCGAGGAACTTGGGCTGTCTTCGTCTCCATCCTCTCATTTTGCTGTATTTCCAGGGTAGCCTCAATTACTTTGCTAACAGCCCCCTCATCCTGGCAAGTGGCCTGGGAAGGGAGATAGCTGCCTATGTAATAGAGATGGCCAGAAAAGCGTGAGGGTCAGGGAAGAGGGCGATTTGTAGACGGCATTGATAACGTTATGATTTGGGGACAAGCCTCCAAACCTTGTAGCTAGTTTCTGGTTGTGAAAATGAGAATATATATCCGTCCTTGTTACAGCAAAACAATGATCTTTTTACTTATGTTCTTGCCAGAATGGTAATTCATGAATAAGACTGTTTTGTATCCTATTTCACATCTGTTAGGGGCTTCCTAATATGCCTCAACTTCCTTCAAGCAAGAAGTGTCAGCAGTTTACTTTTTATTGGTCATTTGATTTCAGAAACCTTTATTTTGATGGTAATATAACTTGAATTTGTAATTTTTCATTTTTTAAATAATAAGCATAATTTAGATTATTAAGTAAGTGTGGCTGGTAGATTGTCGAAGATAATCCTTTAACTAAAAGTAAAGTTTCACTTGTGATTTTTTTTTCAACAAAAGAGAACAGCAGTTCTTTATTTATTTGAGAATACAGAATTTTATTTTAATTAAAAATTATATTTCACTTATTCTTATTTTGTGTTTATGAGTGTATTGCCTGCATATATGTAAATGCCCCCCTGTTGTGCAATGCCCATGGAGGCCAGAAGAGGATGCTGGATCCTCTGGAACTGGAGTTACAGATGGTTGTTAGCCACCATGTGGGTAATGGGAATTGAATCTGGTCCTCTATAAGAGCAGCCATTGTTCCTAACCACTGAACCGTCTCCTATTTTTTAAAAAAACTTTATTATTGTTATTTTGTGTGTTTGAGTGTATTGCCTGCATGTATATAAGTGTACCTGTGTCATGTATGGCCTGCAGAGGCTGGCCAGAAGAGGGAGTCAGATTCCCTGGAACTGTAATTATGGACAGTTGTTTAGCTGCCATGTGGGTGCTGGGACCTGAACCTGGGGCCTCTGCAAGAGCAGCCAGGGCTCTTAACTGCTCAGCTATGTCTTCAGCCCTGAGAATACAGAAGTTAGATATAGCAGAACAGGTTACAAATTATTTGATACATGCACACATTCTCTACGTGATGGTTTTTGCTTTTGTCAAGTTATATTATTGGTGCCATGAAAGTAGAAAAAGAACGTCTGAGTAATAAAAAAAAATGTAAGTAGGTAGTAACTTTTAACAGCCCTTCACCTTGCTGAACACTGGTGCTGTGCTTCTTGTTGCTCAGGAATGAGTCTGGATACTGCTCCATCCTAAGAAAGGAGAAAAAGGGAAACTAGATGCTGACTTGCAGTAGCTCAAGTGCTAGGCCGTTTCTTGCTGGTTTTGGTGTCTGACTGTTAAACAGCATGCTCCTTTGTCCATTATACCAAACCTAAGCAGCCTTGGGACTGCTGCACGTGGACTTGTACTCGTCAGCTAAAGTTGGTGCTCTGTCCTGTTTGGTGCCTTCCCTGCCATAGGTGTATAGTGGCTTGGTGATTGATTGGTTTTGGCCCTAGTCTTGTAAACCTCAGTAGGAGAGAAGAACCATGGAATTCCAGACAGTTGATAATATAATATTTGTAAGATGTGTAGTGGGGACTGTGTTGAAATGCCAATTCGTAAACCTCAATCAGTTGCTTATCAGACTTTAATAGGTCATATCTGTGTTTAACTGGAGTGGAAAAATACTAAGAACATGTAGAAGAAGCTGGAAATGGAAATGTACTGAATAAAAAGTGAGGTAAAATGAGGGGTTTATGCAAATTTGTAGTCATCCTAATTATATATGTTTAAGGCTCAACCTTTACATATTTGATTACTATGCTGATAGTACATATTAAGGAGAGATATGAAATCATGATCTATGGAATTTTAGTTTTAGAGTATTTTGGTTTTTTGTGGCCGTCTTTGTTCTTTCTTTGGAAAAGATTGGGCCAGGGCCGCGGAGGGGAATGCACTGTGTTGCTTGCCTTATCAGATGAGATCTGTTATTCATCGTTCTCCATTGTGCCAGCCTCTGTTTTAGTTCAAACCACAAACACATGAATTGAGCACAGTGTGCCAGCACTAGTCTAAGTTCAGAGAAAGCAGCAGTGAATAGAATAGACAAGTACTGAGGAAGACATAGGAGAAGTGTTTGGGAAAGGAGGAAAGGGAGTCCCGGGAGTTTTGGCAGTGTAGGATCATTTGTTTCTTTAGATAGGGCGGCCATGGAGAGCTGAGTGGGAAGGTGATGAAAAAGACCTGGAAGAAATGAAGGCATGAGTTGAAGGAGTACCAGCAGAAGGAACAAATTCAGATGCTCTGAGACAGGAGTGGCTTTGAGGAATTGCAATGGATCTGTACAGGTGGGTAGAAGGAGTAAGGAGACAGCATTAGGAGAGGAGGACAGAGTGAGGACCGAGCTGGGGGCCAGAAGTAGGATCACACCAAATTTTACAGGTCATCGCAATGCCGTGACTTTTATTCTGAGTGAAATGATAGTCCGAGGAGTGATGTAATCTGATAGAACATTTCAGAAAGACCATTTTGACTTATGTGTTAGAAGTAAACTGATGAAGAGAAAAGAGCAAACAATGGGGAGACCAAGGAGGTTATTGCCGTGATCCAGTGGGAGAGAATGTGGGCCCTATCCAGGGTGCTAGTAGTGGAATGTGGGGACGGGGGGGGGGCTGGCTTGTGGATCTGCTGTAAATGGGGAGCTTAGGAGGGCTTCCTTACATGTTGGATTTTCACTATGAGGAAACGTGAATTATCAAGGATGACCCAAGGTGGTTTAGCCCTGGTAGTCAGGAGAATGGAACTAGCACTTACTGAGAGGAAGGAAGCTAGAGGAGGAATACTTTGAGGGGAGAAGGCTTTTAGACTTGTTATTTTGAAGGCTGTTTAGGTATTTAAGTAGGGAAGTAAAGTAGGGACTTAGCCAAATGTGTCAGAATTTATGGGAGGAATCTGAGGCATAGATAAGCCTTCAGGAGTAACGAGCCTATAGAAGACAAAAACAGACAGATAAATAGCACTGGCTAAGATCAGGTGGAGTGAGTGTAGATATATGAAAAACCAGAGTGCTTTTGAAATTCAGTGTTGAGGTGAATTCTGCAGAGCAGAAGAAGAAGGAGCCGCCAGTGACTTATGAATGACCTCCATCATGTAGCAGATGCTTAATAAACATTGACTGAATGGATGTTGGATAAAGAGGATAGCATAGATGCCAAGGATTTGAAAGAAGCAGTGGCCTGCTGTATTAGACATTGCAGGGCCACCAGGTAAGATGAAATGGCACTGAGCTTCTGGACTGAGCAGCATGGAGGTCTCTGGGGACCCAAGAGCAGTACTGCA